TGCCTGCCAGGAAAGCCACAACCCGGGCGCAGTTGGCAGCTCTCCTCCCAACCAGTCCCCAGGAGGAGCGAGCAAGGCCGTGGGTCGGGCGGAGTGACCTCCGAGGGGGTCGCCTGGCCTTTGGGCGGAGGTGGCGGGTTTCCGCGGAGAGCGGGGCTGGCGGTGGCGCAAAGCCTCCCAGCGCCTGGCCGGGGACGGGCGAGCGGTTCCAGCCGGGCGCTGTCAGTTGGCAAGGGCAGGCACTCGGGAGCAATGTTCCCTCTAAGCTGTGGAGTCTTGTGAGCAAAAATTCTAGTTTGTGAGCTACTGGCTATTAAAGCTGTGAGCAAGCGATTTGGCTACTGCATATATTAGCTTGCTCTGGAGACATCCCTTCCTCAACCGAGACAGCCATCCCTTCCTCAGCCGAGACAAAAATGTGTGAGCCGGAGGCTAAAAAACTGTGAGCTAGCTCACACTAACTCAGCTCTGCTCGGGAGCCTCCCAGTCCCAGGCAGGGATGCCAGCCTCTGGGGCTCCAGATGGGCGCTGCAGAAGGCACACTAACGCGCAGGCCGGCTGCTCCCGACGCGCTTCCACGGCTTCGCTGCGCTGGGAAGAGCAGCTTTTAAAGTGCAGCGGCGGCGGCCACTTTTATAGACTGCCGCGCAATGCTCAGGCCGCAAGAGCAGGCGCCGAAGAAAGGGCAGCAGGGGGAATCCATTGGGGGGGGGGGCGCCTCGACTCAGCCTCCCCCCCCCAAAAAAAGCCGCGCCTTTCAATCGGGGCTGGCTGCATTTGTGGTTCAGGTGTCCCCTTATTGGGGAGTTTTACGGCGTCCTAGCCAAGACAGGCCCGCGCTGACACTCGCCCGCCTGCCCCTTCCCCGCTGCTTCGCATTGAGATTGAACGGGAGAGGTCGAAAAGGACTCAGAGGCTGTGGGGTGTGAAGGGAGGAAACGTTTAGGCTGCAGGGGCGGGGTTGATTTCAACCTCCCGAGCAGATCCCCTTCTCCAAACCGGGGTCAGGCCTCAAGCAGTTCCCAGCGGAAGAGGATGCTCCGGCACTGATAACCTGTTAGCCGCCCGACTGTTCTGTCCCGACGGAAAAGTTGGTCCTGTCGCCCCACCGGCAGCCCTTTCCGTGAGAGGAGACCGGAGCTTGCCTGCCCCCAACCCGGATCGCCCCGAGCAGCCCCGGAGGGGCCGAGACGCCAATCAGAGAAGGGTTGGAGAGAGGATCGGAGAGAGACCCGCCCTTCCCGGTCCAAGCCATCAGGTCCGGAGTAAATCGCCCTCTACAATCATCGCGCGCGCCCAACACCCCGTGCCCAGCTTCAGTAGCCTCCCATGGAATAAGTGGTTCGCAGGCAACTAGTTGCCAAGGAGCCTTCCCCCCCCCCAGCTCCAGGCCAGGATCAAAGTTCCCTCTAAGCTGTGGAGTCTGGTGAGCGAAAATTCTACTTTGTGAGCCGCTGGCATTAAAGTTGTGAGCGAGAGATTTGGCTACTGCATAAACTAGTTTGCTCTGGAGCCATCCCTTCCTGAGCTGAGACAAAAATGTGTGAGCTGGAGGCTCAAAAACTGTGAGCTAGCTCACACTGACTCAGCTTAGAGGGAACACTGGCCAGGACCCCAGCTTTGGCGCTCCCCGGGTTTCCCGGAGGCCACTCTCCGGCGCCTCCTGCCTTGTCTTTGGTACCCGCCGCGGGTTTCAGCCCAGACCTATTCAGTGTCTGGATCTGAAGCTCTCGTTGTGCTCTTTTAGGCTTATTTGTTAGGAGTTTCTAGTCCTCACGGTGGGGGGGGGACGGGGCTCGCGTTGAACATTTAAACTTTGGATAGACCAAACTGATGCGTTAGTGAAAACCGGGTGCGTGTAAGTTTTACACACCCACTGAAAACGAAAGGCATTTAATTTCCAGAAAGATGCAAAAAGAAAGGGCCCTCTTACGCAGAGTTAAACCCTTCTAGGCCCTTCGTGGAGGTAGATCAATATGGGCAGCCGTCTTACTCTGTCTGTAGCAGTAGAAAAGAGTAAGAGTCCAGCAGCACCTGAAAGACCAACACAATTCGTGGCAGGGGATGAGAGATAACCTGAAGGTTATCTGAAGGAGTGAGCGGCGTGACTCCCCTAAGCTCATCCACTGCCACAAATTTTGTTTGTCTTTAAGGTACTGCTGGATTCTTATTCTTTTCTCCTTCTCGGCCCATTGAAGCCAGCGGGGTTTGGGGCAGCACAGTTAGAAGCTCTGGAAATACCTTTGTGCCCTCGAAAAGCTGGAAACGAACGCCTCTTTCTGGGTGCGAGTCCAAAAGGACCGCGAAGAGGGAATGCCTCCGCATGGCGGCGGTGAGCGTGAAGGCGCAACCCTGTGCCGGTTCATTCCCAAGTCCGCCCCACTGTACTGTCCCGGGTTTACTCCTCGGTCAGTGTACATCAGAGTGCACTCCCGTGTAGAGTGGCTGCAGTCTAGATACACTGAAATCAATGGACTTAGACGGCAGTCACTCTACACCGGACCCGCAGCCTTTGTTACAGAGCAACCCCATTGCAGAGTTACTCCCATCTAGATCTCATTGGGCTTTATGAAAAGTGCCACTCTGTTTAGGATTGGATTTATCCCCCTGATGGAAATCAGCGGAACTTTCTTGTAATTTTTTTTGGGGGGGGTAGTTTGTGGGCAGAGCTGGGGGTCCAGTGACCTTTGGGGGGGGGGGACCCTCCTTCGGTGGTTCGTCTGGGCTTTCCACCCAAGAAGGCGGCCTGCTGTTCTTCCCCCCGGGGATTTGGGTGGCGGCGGCGGTTTTTCAAAAGTCAGGCTTCTGCCGCGTTGTTTTTCGCCCCGGGGGGAATTCTAGCTTCTTCTCTGATTATTTCATTCATTTAAGGAGCAGCGTTTGAAGTTTAAAAGGAGTTGAGGCTAATTAACTAGCTGAGATTTCCCCCCTTTTAAATCAGATGCAATCTCCAGCAATGAAGCCGAGCGACTCGGCTGTATCTGATCAACCCGATTCTCTTTTCTTTCTTATTTTAATAAACTGCCATTAATCTGGCCCCAGTTATGTATCGTTTTAATTTAATTTAATCTCTGGCTTCTCTGAGGTTAAATAGATCTCTCTGTTTTGATCTCGGCATT